CGGGTTGCTTACTGGCACCCCCTACCACGACCGGGTTGCTTACTGGCACCCCCTACCACGACCGGGTTGCTTACTGGCACCCCCTACCATGGCCGTGTCGCTTACCGGCGCCCCCTACCATGGCCGTGTCGCTTACCGGCGCCCCCTACCATGGCCGCGTCACTTACCGGCGCCCCCTACCATGGCCGCGTCACTTACCGGCACCCCCTACCATGACCGGGTTGCTTACCGGCACCCCCTACCATGGCCGCGTCACTTACCGGCGCCCCCTACCATGGCCGCGTCACTTACCGGCACCCCCTACCATGGCCGCGTCACTTACCGGCACCCCCTACCATGGCCGTGTCGCTTACCGGCGCCCCCTACCATGGCCGCGTCCGCAGCGGTGGTAGGTGGCGCCGGTAAGCAACGCGGCGGTGGTAGGTGGTGCCGGTAAGCGACGCGGTGGTGGTAGGAGGCGCTGGTAAGCGACGTGGCGGTAGTAGGGGGCATCGGTAAGTAATGCAGCGGTGGTATGGGGTCCAGTAAGCGACGTGGCCATGGTAGGGGGTGCCGGTAAACGACGCGGCCATGGTAGGGGGCGCCGGTAAGTTCTACCCGTGTTTCCATCTCTAGTCTCTACCCGTGTCTTCCTCTAGCCGTGTTTCCATCTCTATCTGTGTCTTCCTCTACCCGTGTCTCCATCTCTACCTGTGACTTTCTCTCCCTGTCTCTCTTTCTCTCTACCTGTGTCTTCCTCGTCCCGTGTCTCCCTCTCTACCTGTGTCAATTGTCACAGGAGATTATGAGGAGATGTTCTCGTGGCTTCCCGCTTCAGGAGGACGTCCTGACCGTCGAGGAGGATGACGACCTCGACGACGACGACACGGAGGCTGCGCTCGCCGAATTCGACTTCCTCACTCCTGGATCAGAAGAGGGCGCCGGTAAGCGAGGAAGACACAGGTAGAGATGGAAACACGGCTAGAGGAAGACACAGGTAGAGATGGAAACACGGCTAGAGGAAGACACAGGTAGAGATGGAAACACGGGTAGAGATGGAAACACGGGTAGAGGAAGACACAGGTAGAGATGGAAACACGGCTAGAGGAAGACAGAGGTAGAGAGAGCGAACACATGTCGAGGAAGACATGGGTAGAGAGAGATGGAGAGATGGGTAGAGGAAGACACAGGTAGAGAGAAAGAGACAGGGAGAGAAAGTCACAGGTAGAGAGAGAGAAAGACAGGTAGAGAGAGAGACACACAGGGAGAGGAAGTCACAGGCAGAGAGGGCGACACGGTACCGGTCGAGTCGGTCGGCGACCTCCTCGCACAACGACGACGAGGGTTCGTGTTGGGAGTGGAAAAGGGTTTTTTGATGATACGAATGTTGCCCACCCTGAACATTTCGTGGTAGACGTAATAAACTTTGAGCGGATGGAACGGACTTTTTTCGCCCGAAGAAAAATGAAATCCGGGAAATTATCCCGGCCATCCCGTTTAAAATACGTCAGTTGAATAATTGAGCTATCCCCCAGGAGTCACCAGGAGGTCTCCCCCAGGAGTCACCGACATGCAGCTCTAGCGAATCAGTGTTGCGATAGGGGAGTTTGAAACATGCTGCGAGCAAGCGTCGCAAATTCGACAGCTTGTGCAAGAATGCGTTTAAACCGTGTCTAGCTCGAGTGGGCCTACAGTGAAGGTGTGGAGCAGACGTGCATAGCCTACCGCTGTAGTGGGAGCCTGACCGGCATCTCTCTTATCGCTCGCTCGCACTGTTTCATCGAGGTCTGAATCACTGCAAATGGCAAACATTACACGTTTAACTAAAGTATGTCTTACGTAATGTGTAAAGTATGAAACCCAAGTTCAGATGGCTTAGACTAATTTGTTTAGACCAGACAGACCTAGACAGACTGGAGTTGACCAGTTTAGAATGCAACAGAGAATGCTCTCCTGCGTAACACTAATCCACACAAAGAACTAATTGAGTCTAGATGGCCGACAACTACATCAAATTCAATCAAACGTGAAAGAGAAGAATTCTGAACGAAATGCTAATACGAAGTTCATATCCTCGGTCAATATAAGTGAGATAGCCACAAGATAGGACAGCGTGTGCGTGTATAGAACACATCTGTCCCGAGACGCAACACACGAGTATAAGGACAGAACGTCCTTTGACGCCGAGGAGCCGTAAAGCGTTTCGGCATTCGTAACCATGGCAACCTCCGTCATTGCCGCCGCGCGGATTCTCTGAAGCTGCACTTGCATGTAATCGAGTCGCTCCTCTCGTTCCTCCTCGGCCTCCTCCTCCTCTTCCTCCTCCTCCTCCTCTTCCGTGTCGCCGTTCTCCGAGCTAAGAAAGTTGAAGGTGTCGAGGACGGCTGCCTCCGTCTCCAGGAGCTGTCTGTCATCACCGACCGATGTCTTCTTTCCCTGCAGTCTACAGAAATCGAAGAATGCGCGTTGGACGGGAGATTTTCTAGAACGACGTGGCGGGTAACTAGCACAGCGATTACGATTAGAGGTGTCACGAATCACTGGTGCATCACTCATTCATAATTTAATAGTCGTTGCCATGTGATACGGGATATGCAGCGTGCGTACCGTGATGCATTCGTACTACAATTGTTGAGCAATCGGTGCGATAACTAAAACATTTTTTTTTTATCCTAGACGTAATTGATTTTGTGAGGGAAAAAATGATGATAATCTAGATTAAGTGTAATGTGAATTTTAGGATGATTCGGTGCAAGAGTAAAATTCCTATTTCTAAACCCAACCACACCTCTACCTCACACACACCACACCGACCTCATCCTTCTCCACAAACACCCAATCCTCACCTCTTCCACATGCACGCACGAACACACGCACAGACGCATGCACGGACGCACACACACACACACACACACTCACACACCCTTACCTCCACTT